GTGAGTTAAAAAAAAAAAAAAATAAAACAAAAAAAAAAAAAGAGATCGACAAAATTTAAATCAACGCGATACGCGATGATCCTTCGAGATCCATCGAAATATCGAAATAATAAATAGTTAAGGGATAATAGTTAAAAATTATTCTGTCTTTTATAATTCACTCGAGCAAACTTGTCAGGATGAAGGATTAGTAGTAACGTGAAATTCTAAAAGAAATCTTTTTAGATCTTTACGTTTAACAGAATCTCATCCTTTTTCATTTATTATTAGAAAGGATGAATGGATCAAAGTTAATTCATCAAGATATATTGTTCATTAACTTTTATATCTTACAATAAAGATAGACGTTAAATTTGAAAAAGCATAAATTCATTGTGAAAATTTAAAAATAATTTTTCTTTCTTTCTTGTTTTTTTCTTTTTTTTTTTAATTTTAATTTTAATTTTAATTCTAATTTTCTTTTTAATCCAATATTAGAAAAATGTACAATGAATCTCTTAAGATAATAATATAATATTTTTCGAAGTAATACAATTTCTTACGGACAATAGATAGACATTGGAATAACGAACGATAAAAGATTCCTATTTTAATTCCTCTTCTTTATCTACATTTTTCATTTTCCTTTTCATTTTCAAACTTATTCACACGATCATATAGACTCTCAGATATTTTACATCTTTTACATTGTAAATATTCCCGACAAATTATAGTACGTCTTATGACAACAAAGTTGTAAAGAAAGTTTGCTTTTAGATGTCATAAATGTCTTCTTACGCGCACATATCTCCCACGCACGTATGCACGCATGCACGTGCATCAATCGGCACACATACGCGTGTATACATACATACATATATACATACATGCATGCATGCATACATACATACACGAAAGAACTCTGTTTGCAAGATGCAAATGTATATTGACGGTACTCAACTAGGCTGATGTTCTTCACACCTTTCACTTCGGTTTTACTTTAAGAACGCTTTAGAAACCCGTTGTGACGTATCGCGAGTCGTTTACAAGAAGCACTGACGAAGTCGTCGACGTGTGTTTGTTAAACAAGTTGCGGATGACTGCTTGCAGTTTCAACAGTCTTTCCGCAGCCTTCTTACTTAAAATCATTCACGAAATTTACGTACACACATAAAATAGCTACGAACGTCGGAATTTACGAGATTTACGTGCTTACTCGTAGCTATCTTAATGAACGTAATCCGTCGATGGTGAGAGATTTCATTAAATTATTAAATATGTCGAATGATATGGTAAAATTATATTTATTATATTTTCTTACGACATTTCTATATATAATCACGAATTTTTGTTTATTAAACTTTCTTTTTTTGCTCGCTCCATTATTTCTTTTTCTTTCTTTCTTTTCTCTCTCTCTCTCTCTCTCACTTTTTTTTCTTTTTTTTTTTTTTCTTTTTTTAAACTTTTATCATTAAAAGTATGTCATACTTCTTCAATGAACATTTCTGAAGTATTTTTATCTTTTAAAAGAAGATATATTTTAAGAATTATCGCTTTTTCTTTCTTCTTCAATCTTGAATTTAATAAATTTAATAAAGGGAACGTCCAATGCTTAAACATTAAATATTTATCTTTGTCGTTAGACAAAGATAAATATATTAGTTAATGAACAATTTAAGATTTTAATACATTTATCTTGAGTTAAACGATAAAAATAAAGAACGAAGAATCATCCTTTCCTCTTTCATATAACATAAATTCCGATAAATTGTACGAATACACACATGCTCATATATATATATATATATAATAGCAATATAACATAGAGTAAACACAGTGAAAGAAAACAATATGGATACAGTAAACATGATTCAGGTCCTTGAACTTTTACTAGGAGAACTAACGTCTGAACTGGAACAGACCAGTAGAAGGGTATAGAGAGGGATGGAGTTGAGGAGAGGGGATGAGAGGGTAGTATGTTCCAGTTCTACGAAATTGTGGGGTAGAAATAAACTGACGTCGTGAAATTTACGACGGCAAAGTATTTTCGGGTTAAGATCGTAGAACACGAATCGATTCCGTCTGTCGCAAGAAAAGTGAAGCGGTGGGCAAGAGCGAGAGAGGAAGAGGTGGTGGGGAGAGAGAGAGGAAGGCATAAGAGAGAGCGAGAGAGAGAGAGAGAGAGAGAGAGAGAGAGTTGGAGGGTTAAGCGAGGAGAGGGTTGAGAGGGGTAGGAAAGGGAAACAAAGACTACAATAATTTAATTCACATATTTCGCTATTTCATTTTATTTCCTTGCGTAGTTTTCCAGAACTGCTACTTTTTCCACTCCCTTTCCCCTCCCCCCCCTATCTCCAGCCCCATAACAATTTTATCATAAATAGGGAGAGATGATAGGTACGTTTGCCGAACTACTATATGATATCGATATAAATGGGTAGAAGCAAGCAAGAGAGCCTTCGCGGTTCACGCAAGGAAACTCTTGGAATATGTTCCTTGGCTTTGGTGGCACGTTTTATCTTTATTCAGGAAGACGATTCGTCTTCTTACTTTACACGTCAAGCCAAAAGTAGCACCTTGAATATGGCCTTCGTAATCCAGAGAAAGTCTTTCTAGGTATCGTTGGTGTGTCCCCGTTTCTACGTTACCCGGATAATATCCTTTATCTTGTCTCCACTCGATCTTCTATCCTTTCCATGTTTCACTATACTTTTGATAAAGATCGCGAAAAGAGCGAATGGAAATGACGAGAGAGAGAGAGAACGAGAGAGCGAGAGAGAGAGAGAAGGTTAGGTAAAGATAATCGTATTGTCGATTATAATAAATATATAATATAATCTCTTTCTTTTCTTCTTTTTCTTGTTCTTTTTTTATCTTTTACTCTTTTCTTTTTCTTTTTTTGTCCTTTTTTCTTTTTTCGTTTTTTTTTTGTTTTATATATATTCCCTTGAAATTATATTAGACGGAAAAAGATCGCAAATTATTTTTCATTTTTCATGGAATTAATTCGACAGGTGAAGTACTTCATTTTCTTTATATATATATATATATATATATATAACGATTATTGAATTAAAAAATGTTAATGGAAAGGTAAGATGATATTTAATTAATGACAGATATAAATAAGAATGAAATAAATATTGGCCAATGGATATATATCATATTTAATAGCAATAATATTATTAATTGCAAAGAATGAAATATATATATATATATATATATTAGAAATATATTAGAAATATATTAGAAATTTATTAGAAATATATATTTCATACAGAAATCTAATATATATATATTAGAAATAGAATTAGAATTGATCGGATATCTTTAAAACAAATGTGTGTGTGTGTGTGTAAAGAAGAGAGGGGCAAAAAAAAAAAAAGAGAAAAAAAAAAGAAAATGAAAACAAAAATATTTTGATTGTCGTAAATAATACGTATTCGTATGAACATACGTTTACGTTTACGTATATCATAGGTTGATCTATTCAAAGAGACGAACACGAAGGTAAACAATTCTATTACGCGAGGTGTCCCAGTGCGGTCGACCTTCAGTTCGGAGTTGTTCGTCGTAAATAGAAGTAGCGTGTCGGTTGATCGTAGGGTAATAGGTTCCGATATCTCTCTCTCTCTCTCTCTCTCTCTCTCTGGGTAAGGCGATATAAGGGTAGTTTAAGTGCGTGTTTAGCGCCATACCAACTCCCTACTGGCTTTTACATGGGACACTAAGGGCCACTAAGGGTTAGTATCGAGCTCGTGAGGAAGAGACTATCCTGCTAGGTAAACCTTAACACGACCATTGGGTCACGATATAAAATCATTCGGTGTATCATGCCAAATTTAACATCGTCCATTTTTCGTCGAATATCATTCTCCCTTTTTCTTTCTCTTTCTCTCTTTCTCTTTTTTATTTTTTCTTTCTTTTTTTTTTGTTTTTTTTTTGTTTTTTTTTTCCTTTTCTTTTCTTCATCCACTTTTCTTTCTTGTTTTTCTTTTTTTTTTTTTTTTTTTTTTTTTTCAGGCCGTTCGATGAGAACTTCTTCGAGCTGAATTATTTCGATGATTTTTTTTACTAGTTCCATTATAACACGTATTTCCTTTGATTATCTTCGACGAGATTTTTCATTGTATTGTTCTAATAACGTTCTATGGAGTTTCATTGACAAATTGCTACATATTGGATGGATTTTTATTTCTTGTTTTTTATTTTTTTTTTATTTTTTGTTTTCTGTTTTTTTTTTTCTTTTTTTTGATGTTTTCGATTAGTTACTATAGTTTTTTTCTTTTTTTTTTTTCTAACTAGTTTCATTGAAAAATCGCTTTGACGATCTATGAATTATTAGTTGTAATTTTTTGGTTTAACGGATAAGTGTCCATTCAATTTGTAATTAATTACTTCGTATATAAGAGAGATTGAATAATAGAAATAACGTTAAAAGCAGAGATCGATATTTACATATATCGATATATATATATATATATATATATATATATATATATATATATATAAATTCTATGCTATCTACTCCAAGTCAATAGGAAAAACTCGGGAATGAGTGAAAGCTCCGTAGCGAGAAATTCATGTTTTGTAGCCCTTTAAAGCTTCCACGTCCCTTTTCTCTGCAGCGTATCGAACAGAACGAAACAAATATGGTCGGCCAGTGAAAATGTTGTAAAAAATGTCGGGCCTCGAGCGATCGTCGATAGACATGGCTTGGTAATTCGGTGAAAAGCGATTTTCGAGCTTACCATCGAAAGCTTTAATCCTCGCTCACGGCGCGGCGTTGTCAGCGATCGATTATCTTTTTTATTTTTTTATTTTTTCTTCTTTTTTTTTTTTTTTTTTTCTTTACTTCTTTTTTGTTTTGTTTCTATTTTATTTTTTAATTTAATTCAATTTTTATTTTTTCTTTTTTTCATTTATTTATTTTTATCTTTCCTTCCTAACGTTTCAGATTTATTGCTTATCGATAATTACTGTATATACCGATAATGATAATTATAATCGACAGTAACGAC